GTCCCAAAACCGTAGATTTCAGGCGGCGCACTGCTTGTGGCCGCCTGACAACGCTACCACCATGACGGAGTCCATGCAGCTAAACAGCCTGAACGGTGCACACATGTACCGGCTGATGAGTATAGTCCCCAAGGCCTAGACGCTTAGGAACTTAGCTATAATAAGCTATTTGCACATTTGCCGGTCTATCAAGGTGGGACAATCATGGTCAGAAATTCTCAGATTCTGAATCTCACGGGCATGAAAATTGAATAACAGCATATTAGTCCCACTACCGCCTTCCCCCGAACATAACGCATAGGTGTTATAAACGAATACAAGGCATGGGCTACTTTCTATTTGAATGCAACCCACACATGTTCTATTCGAACAGCCTGATACAACACATATGCCGGTCTATACAGATGGGACAATCTTGGTCAGAAATTCTCAGAATCTTACGGGTACAAAAGTCGAATAACAGCATATTAGTGATAATTAGTCCCACTACCGCCTTCCCCCGAAGATAATGCATATGCGTTGTAAGTGAATACAACGCATAGGCTAATCTCTATTCGAATACAACCCATATATGTTCTATTCGAACATCCCTGATATTCGGTACAACCCGTAATATTTTGCATTCCTTGCCAAGTGTAGGCAGTGAGGCTGCACCATGACTCCAATGGCGATGAGGGTCATGAGAACGTTCCACACCCCCATCAAAGAGGGTACGACCTTACAGGGCTCTTCAGAAGAATTCTGCGCCAGGATTTTCCCGAATGTGTCAGACCGCAATAGCATCTAGATTCAGCCGTCAAAATCCACCTACATGCGAATATAACCCCAGCCCAGCCCACACAGTACACGACGCCATGATTCTCTCGAACTACGCTCTAAACAGAATTGGTGTTAGATACCTCCGGGAATGTGGCAGCATCAGTATGACCTTGCTACCTATTTGACTCAGGCAGTTAATAAAAGGGCTAAGTTTCAAAAATAGAGCGTGGCGGTAGTTTGACAGCAAAAATAGTGGCGGGTCCCAAGTTTCTTTTTTTATAGAAGTACATCTGTCCTTGCAGCTTTAGAGGTCCCGGTAGTTCCATAGCAAAAAATATTAGCAGGCGGGGTCACACTTTCATTGCAAAAATACATCTTTTCAATTTTTTGGACCCCGACAACATTTCCACCGGGAAACTTCGAAAAATGCGCTATTTCTGCAGTTACCCCTTAATACGATATAGATGTGAAATTACAGTATAGGATGAAAAACAGACTGTCACACTAAATGATGGGTGTTCCCAACAGTGGCCACCTAGCGCTCCGTAGCGGAGGAGGAGCTGGACCTTGACCGAGTTCGCCGTTTTCGATCCCCTTACTTTCAATGTGAAAGGGAAGAGCCCCTCAAAAATTATTGTATCTGTCAGGACTTGAACTCTTGATCTGTCTACCAACGGTTACAGCCTTACAGGTGTGTACCAATCAGTTATGAGGCACGTAACTTTGCCAGCGGCTCCAAAAACCATTACAAGAAGTCCATGGAACGCGGCACATCGCATGATCAGCTCATGAACCAGTTGTCCGTGTTGTCACCCTCTTGAAACCCGTTGACGCCCTCCGGAAACACCGAGGAGGTTCTCACTAGATAAACACCATGACAGCAAACACGTGGAGATGCAAATGATTAAACTGATGAACATGTTGAACGGATGGATACAGCAGACGATTCGGAGCTGATCGAGTCGGATTCGATTGGATCAATCGACCATGCATTAGATAAACACCAATGAGCCAGGTCGGATGGATAGATCAGATGCGATGTCCTGGGATCTGATCGATTGGACGGATAGTATCGGATGGGAAGCGATCGGATCAGCTCTGCTGGGATGGGATGGAATGGGATCACTGGGATGGGAAGTTGGGAACAGATCGTATGAGATTGGATCGGATGGGATGGTCTTAGATCGGATCGGTTCAGATCACGCATGATCGGAAGTTCGGAACAGATCAAATCGGCGATCGGATGGCATCAGATTGGATGATCGAAACAGACCAGATGGGATCGGATCGGATTGGATCGAATCTGATCAGGCTGAGTCAGGCATGACTGGATTAAATCGGACTGGATCGCGTCAGATGGGAATGGACCCGATGCACGTGAGGAGTCATTTGATCAACATGGATGCGCAGAACTCGCTTCCTCACCATCCAGCCGAAATACTTTTCTAGTGATCACAGTGGAAGCGCAAGAAGTGCAGAACAACTTGCTCAGAACAACTTCCCGCAACCTTCATAACCAATATATCATCTTGGACTGACTGGCGCCAGGTAAATTATATTTTCACTACTCTGATTCCATCCGGATTCGATCTCAGGTCTGCATTTCAACAAGTCGTCGTCGTGGCAACTGAGCTATGCCAGTCGGTTATATCTGTAATTTGCCTAACTGGGCACCTCCTCTTCCGTCGTATTATCGACGCTCATTGGCAAGCTATCTATTCGATTAGGAAATCCTTCGAGTCAGAGAAGATCGGATAAATTTCCTACTCTGTTGATCGATCCCGATCTGTTGTAGGCAACAGATAAGATGTCCCGTCCCGTAGTATTCTGTAGGCAGTATGTAGAAGGGTCAGAAGGGAGTAATAATAAGAGAGCATTAAGAATCCTAACATGAGCGGGGATCAGGCAACTCAGCTCTTACCCTTACGCTGCAGAGTCAATTCTAATGAAGACGATCAAAACAGAACCCCATCCACCCCCTGTGGCCCACGTGTCAAACACATCTCAAACACATGTCGAACACATGTCGAACACATGCCAAACACATGTTGAACAAATGTCGAACGCGTGTCCAACAGTGCCGCACACATGTCAAACACGTGTCAAACGTGTCCAGATATGTCGAATGTATGTCGAACTCGCCTAGAACTGGCGTCCAGGGGTGCTACCTCAGAGCACACAGCACACTCACACATGCACTTTTGTAAATGTATCTGACTTCAACAGCGGCCACATTTTGATGAACGTGACTGAAATCACGTCCATAGCTTAGTAGAAAATAGTCCCAGTGTGATTATATTCCCTCAGAGTGTACTTGCACTTCCTACTTCGCCCGCAGGTTTATTGCGGACTCAGCGAAATGGCAGGCACACCTGTGATAAGGCTTGAGACCACAAGAAGATCCTGTAGAGAGGAATTTTCTTATCTCCAGTCATTTTTTGTATCTGACCGCAATCAGTTCCATAAACAAGTAAAGAAGCCCTTGTGTGAGTATATGCCCTTATGGTTATGAGTGTCATCCTTGTGCAGGGGCCATGCCAATCATCTCTGTAATTCTTTTTTGAAATAACTGCGAACGCGGCATGTTTTGGAACTCTTAAGGGCGAAAACAACTCGCGCCCGAACTCTTAAGGGCGAAAACAACTCGCGCCCGCAAAGAAACCATGCGCCAACTCGAACTGAGCTTTCGGTCCAGAAGTACCCATTGGGCTTTTTCTTTATTTTTTATCCCTCCCCTCTGACAACACCGCGACGGACCACCCACCCCCMCCCCCCCCCCCCCAAAAAAAAAAAACACCACGGCCGACCCCTGTAAATATGATGACACCCGGTCTGACACCACGGCCAGGAATACTTCCTTTGCCTTTTCGAACTCGGTGGGGGTTTCTTACGTCTTTTTTTTGCCCATTTTGGGCCATTTGGTATTCAAAGGTGACACGAACGCAGTTACCCCTTCTTCTTTTTTTCTGCTTAGTCGGCTTCCAGTGTTCCACTCATCCGCTTCCACTGGAGTTCGAACTCAGGTCTGTGTTTCACTGTTTCAACAACAGTTCAGTGGTGTTACTTGTGTACCAACTGAGCTAGGCCAGTTGGTCCATTTCTGTAACTCAATATGCATAGGTATGTATCAGCTTACACATGCAGGGCTAGGACGACGGCAGAGGCAGAGGCACGTACATATGGCTGCTATGCCAATCTAAGCGAAGAGAAGCTCCTCCATAGCCGGGAAATGGAGAAGCTTGTCGGCTCCCTTTTCTCTCCTCTTTTCCTGCTTTGCTTTCTCTGACGGAGTCTGACCTATGAAACCTTCCGGCTATGCAGATCTGACATCAAAGACGAAGACAAGATCTGACGTCAAAGACGAAGACGATGTATCTACCGAAACCATCAGTCTGTCGAATATACTCTGCCACTCAGACACCTGGATGGCACTACAGTCTTCACCCGGTAATTATCGCTGCATCTGGTCTGACAGGTGGCCCAAATGCAGCTATAATGACCGCCGCAGGCATTCTATTCCGGTGAAGACGGTAGGCTGCGAGGACCTGCTCGCGATAATTGCCAATCATCTCTGTAAGTCAATATACATACGTATCAGCGTACACATGGACGGCTACTAGGAGGCAGACGTAAGTAGCTATGGCAATCTGATCAAATCTGATCGAAGGGCCACTACGGACGGCGGCTACGCCATCGCCGGAAAACGGCGAAACGTGCCGTCTCCCTTTTCTCTCTTCTTTTCCTGCTTTGCTTTCTTTGACCCTTACAACCTTCCAGCTACGCAGATCTGACCTCAAAGACGAAGACTATGTGTCTATGGAAAAGCGCAAATTGCAGACATAATATCCGTTCGGAGAAGTATCGTAGCAACCATCAGTCCGTCAAATACTACTCCCCCACTGAGACACTAGACGGTAGGCTGCGAGGACCTGCTCGCGACCATGCCAATCATCTCTGTAAGTCAATATACATACGTATCAGCGTACACATGGACGGCTACTAGGTCGCAGACGTAAGTAGCTATGGCAATCTGATCAAATCTGATCGAAGGGGCGCTACAGACGATGGCTACGCCATCGCCGTCTCTTCTTTTCCTGCTTTGCTTTCTTTGACCCTTACAACCTTCCAGCTACCCTAGCAACCATCAGTCCATTAAATACTACTCCCCCGCTGAGACACTAGGGCCGTCAAATACTACTCCCCCACTGAGACACTACCAGGCAGTGGCAGGTAGTATTATTACGCTGCGCGGCTGGCAGGCTGCGATGAGAAGACGTCCTCACGACCAATCAAGTCCGCCAAAACCAGCTAAAAGCACAACCACAACACTTGCATGATACTGTGGGCTCACGGCTTGGCGGCCTTTGACTGTCGTTATCATTCACCACGGGGATCGATCGCTGCAGCTGTGGGTTAAATCCCGACTGCGGCCCCACCTGTTGCCCACACATACCACCGTGATAACGATATGCTGGTCCCACCTCCTGTGGCTTTCCCCTTTCTATTAAATATGCCCCTACGTCAGACTGATAAGCCCGTCGTCCATCAACACAACCACCATGATGATCGGTCTGCTGACCGCGGAAGAAGAGATTATTCTCTTTATTACGATGCCCGAACCACGGATCGGGATCGGGATTGACATGGTTGACCACCGGGTGATGATCTCTCGCATAACCCCCCTGCGTCCGAAGCCGATCACCTGCTTCTCCCAAATTGCTGAACGCTTTCAACTGATTGGCCATCATGCGGATATCTTGGGACGTCAACCTGCCTTTATCCGTGGTGATGGTGGCGACGGCGGTTCTCCCCTCCGCATTCCGAGTCAGGGCTCGCGCCGTCGCACTGAGAATCCCATTCTCGTCTACGTTGAAGGTCACCTCCGCAGATGCCTCTCCTGCCGGCGCGGGCTCGAATCCCGACAGACAGAACTTCCCCAAGTAGTGGTTCTTTTTCGAGCACGTGCTCTCCCCCTCGTACACCGGAAATTGCATCGTCGTCTGGTAGTCTTTACTCGTAGTCAGAACGCATGTTCCTGTGGCCGGTCGCCGCGAGTTCTTCCGTATGACCACGTGCATTGCATCTCCATCCAGCTCAACGCCGATACTGCGCGGGACGACTTCATGCAATCGCACCGATCGAGGCTGATCGTACCCTGTCCCGATCTCGACGGCTGCTGCTGCTTCCTGTGTTGGCGGGGCATTGAAATTCCCCCCACCTCCGGCGGCGCTGGCGGCGGCGGCAGCGGCGGATCTCCCTCTGCTAGCCTTGATTGCGGCCTGGACAGCGGCGCCGTACGCCACTGCTTCGTCGGGATTGACACAGGTCAGCGGTCTCTTACCCATGAACGACGCTAGCATATTGGCAATTTTGGGAATGCGAGAGGACCCGCCTACCATTAACACATCTGAGATTTCCTCCTTAGTGATTCCCGCATCAAGAAGGGCCACGTGCACGCACTCGATGCACCTATTGAACAGATCCTGATTCATCTTGTCGAACTCTACTCGCGTTACCCTAACCTCCAGCTCCTCAGCCATACTCGGCAATATCGGGATGTCGAAGACGACGTCGTTAGCGGAGGAAAGATGAATCTTGGCCTGGACACACACCTCGCGTATCTGACGAAGAGCTTTCGGCGAGACTTCTACATTCGGGTATCGCTCTTTGACTGTCGCAAGCACATGCTGGATCAAATTGGCGTCGAAATCGGCGCCGCCGAGGTGTGTGTCGCCGGCCAGCGCTCTCACTTCGAAATCGTCGCCGTCGATCGTCATTATCGCTACGTCGAGCGTCCCGCCGCCGAGATCGAACACCATCACCGTCCGCTTCCCGTGCGCAAGCAAGCGCTGATAGGCGAACGCAAGAGCCGCCGCCGTCGGCTCGTTCATTAGCTCCAAAACGTTGAGGCCGGCGATGGCGCCGGCGTCCTTCGTCGCCTGCCGCTGAGCATCGTTAAAATACGCGGGAACGGTAATGACAGCATCGACGACGTTGGACTGCGCGCCGCCGCCGCCGCCGCCGCCCTCGGCACTTCCTTTGCCTACGAAGTCCTCCGCAATGCCGCGCATGTGCGCGAGCAGGCGCGCTGATACTTCCTCCGGACTGACTTCCGCGGACAACCGCGGAAGCCAAACGACCGCTCGATTGGCTTGACCCTTCACCACCTTGAAGGGCCACCGCTTCATGTCCAGCTGTAGGGAAGCATCGTCAGCCGTACGGCCAATCAACCGCTTGGATTCGAACACCATATCCTCAGGATGAACCTTACCGAAAGCCACTGCTCTGGCGCCAACCAACTGCTCCTCAGCCGTGAAGGCAACGACAGATGGCGTCATCGCGCTCCCGACCTCATTCCTTGGTATATATACATCCCCCCTGGTCCATATGCCAACGCAGGAGAAACTGGTGCCCAAATCTATGCCTATAGCAAGACGACCTGCATCCGGACCGCCATCGCCAGCCGCCGCCCCAACTCCTCTATCTGGCCACCCAGGCAATTCCATTTTATAATTTTTATTTTATTTTACTTTTATTTTATATTTGTCCACCACTGCAAAGAGCAAAAGGAAAAAAAAAAACAGAGCACGCAATCAGCAAGCTGTGCTAAATATGAAAGAGCCCTGCCCGGGCCCGCCCCGCTCCTCTCTCTATGGAAATAACTACTCCTTCATCCCTCTGCAAATAAAAATTGGTTTCTCATTTTCTAATTCGGAAAAAAAACATTATCATCCGCTTCCCTCCTGCCAGGCCGACACATTGTCCACTAATAATTCACCAAGGGGGAAAAAAAAAAAAAAAAAAAAAAAACACTCCTAGGCTCTACGAATTTCCTTTCTGCGTTTTTTTTCCATATCCCCCGATCCCGTCATCTCTTCATATCCTCGTCACAGCAAACGGAAAGAATCATTTGTCAATACCAAAAAGTAATTTAGAAAAAAAGGAGAAAAAAAAAAAAAAAAAAAAAAAAAAACCTTCGGTTTGTTCTTCAAAAAGCGTCTTTTTCGCATTCGATTCGGTCTCGTCTCATCAAAGCCGATGATACCGGCAGGAACTTTCCCATTTCCTTCACCTTCACAATTCCTTCACTGAACTTTCTCATTCCCATTGTACCAGCATAGGATTGAAAACAAGAGCGAAGTTTGCCGATGCCCCGTCGAAGTAAACACCACAGCCTCCAGGCTCCTTTTCCAGGACCTCTTTCCTTCTAGGTGAGGGCGCCTTCCACACCGGTGACTCTCCGGCACGTATTTGACCGAAATCACGACCAAATGCGGTCGAAAAAGCCCTGCTACATGCCGCAGATCACAACCTTTCGCCTGCCCTTCTTCTACATCTCGAGCTCGTACTTCCCAACATGCTCATCAGTCCTTCGGGACATCCGGACAAATTGGAACGATACAGAGTAGATAGAAGATAAGCATGCCCCCTGCGCAAGGATGACACGCATAGATCGAGAATTGTCCAAATTAAATTTATAGAAAAAAACAAAACAAAACAACAGGAAAAAAAAATAAACCATGCTGATCGTTCCCACGGAATCCCACTCTACAGTCGTACCTCCCGAGGGATTTCCCCCATACAATATCCCGCTCAAAATCGAAGACTCTAAAGGCTCGATCCCGTTCCCGACCTGTCGTTGCCTCCCCCCTGACTCCCCCCTGGCTCCCCTGGGACAACTTTCGCGATCTCCGGGGGCGTGGTCCCACTAGCAAAGAGTATCGGATTGAATGCCTGGATCTGGAGGAGGTTGTGGAAATGTGCAGGAAATCGAGATTGAACCGCTTTTCTGCATCTCTGCAGAAAACACATCCAGATTCAGGCATTCGATTCGATCCTCTTTGCTAGTGGGACCTCGGCCGGGGCGACATTCCCCCCCCACAAAATCGAACGCCATCAGCCACATCGGACGACAGCAGAAGACGCTTATCAAAAATACTCAAAACTAAAATAGAATCTGTTCCCGAATATATAATATACTTATATATAATATATCGAATATAATTTGAAAAGATAAAAAAGAAACTAAATTATATCGACGTTATTAAAAGAACTAAACAACATGAAGCATATATTCATCCAACGAAAAGTAATTAACAATAAAAAAAATAAAAATAAAAAGTAATTAACGCCAGTGTTCAATTCATAACTCGCAATTAAATCATCAGCGACGGAACAAGAGGTCCTAACTACGGCTATAGAAGAACCAAAGCCCTAGTGAACCATCATAGTCAAACTGGAGTTAAGCAGACGGCATACTCAAACACGGACCTGATGACCTTAAATCCCAAAATTTGAGGCACTTTCCAAGTCACATTGGAGAGCCCCGCTACCCATATGGACAATTTGGTGACCCTTTTGTCAGCAGCCTGCGTGGCCGCGTGAAGACCCTTTTTTTTTTGAGACCACCTCTGCTCTAATTACATTTTCAATTCTTTTTCTTTCTCCATGAGGTATTTCTGGAGATTCGTGCATCAGCAAAACACCCGTGCGTGCGTGTTATTACAGCATTCGGAAAAAAAAAAAAAAAAAGAAACTCTATATAGTTTTGGGTGTAAGTTCCGTGTAACCTGCAGTTCTGTCACGGTGATGCACAAATGTCAGGGCCGCGACTGTCCTTTTTGGACACAGAGCGCAAAAACGAAAAAAACTTTAAAAAAGTAAAAAGGAAAAGAAAGAAAAAATGAATTCATTTTTTTATCTTCTTCCTTATACCTCTGTTCAGAACCTCTTGCATACAACGCCGCCCACGTGGAGATATATATATATATATCGTCACAAACAGATATATATATTGTCACATTGTGAATCAGAGCGCAAAAAAGGGGAAAAAAAAGGAAAAGGAAAAAAGGGGGAGGGGGAAGAGGTAAGGAAAGCTCCACCTGTTCATAACCTCTTACGTACAAGGCCAGCCACGTGGATGACAGGTTGAGCGCTGGCTGCCCCCATCCCCGTGYGTCACAAGGACCCACTTGCACGCAGCCAAAAGGCAAAGAGGTAAAGAAGGGGAGGAGGAAACCAAACCTGACAGGGAAAGAAAGATAGGGAAAGAAAGATAATCCAATTATCACAAAGCAAATAACACATCCCAAAGTAGACTATCACTCACCCACACCAGATGGAAAACTTTACATATATATCGTCACAAACAGACTTATCAAAGTGTTGAAAATGCGCTTGTACATGAAAAATGTGCTTCCAATTGGTTAAAAAACCTCCAATCCATTTATGATTTATATAACTTTGACATGTTTATATATATATGTAAAGTTTTCCATCTGGTGTGGGTGAGTGATAGTCTACTTTGATTTTGGTTAAGGTAGATTATCATTTACAGTGGAATCAGTGAGGGGATTCTGCAGACTGTCGAGGGTTCAGCCTCCTGATGAGTCGGTGAAACTCCGACGAAACAGTTTGTCACAGCCCCTCGTTTGTTGTCCTCTTCTCTCTCTCTGCCTACGGTTAATCGGGCAGTTCTGTTTGTGACGATATATATGTATCGTCATATATATCGTTGATGCTTAACCACAGCCCGGGTTAAGGTGGATTATCACTTACAGTGTAATCAGTTAGGGGATTCTGCAGACTGTTGAGGGTTCAGCCTCCTGATGAGTCGGTAGGTAAGACTCCGACGAAACAGTTTGCCACAGCCCCTCGTTTGTTGTCCTCTTCTCCCTCTCTGCCCACGGTTTACCGGGCATCTCTGTTTGACTATATAACAGGTGGGGCTTTCCTTACTTCTTTTTCTTTTTCTTGTTTTGTCTTTTTCCGCCTTTGCGCTCCGATTTCCAGTGTGACAATACATATATGTCCTCTTCTCTCTCTCTGCCTACGGTTTACCGGGCAGTTCTGTTTGTGACGATACATATATATCGTCACAAACAGAACTGCCCGGTAAACCGTAGGCAGAGAGAGAGAAGAGGACAACAAACGAGGGGCTGTGACAAACTGTTTCGAACAGTCTGCAGAATCCCCTCACTGATTACACTGTAAATGATAATCTACCTTAGCCAAAATCGAAGTAGACTATCACTCACCCACACCAGATGGAAAACTCTACAGACTGTCGGTTCACACCCCATCACAAGCCAGCAAAACATCCACGAAACAAAGAAAGGTCTGTCACAGTCAAAAAATACACTATATGTCAAACAGAACTCCCCGGCAAACCGTAGGCAGAGAGGGAGGGAGGGAGAAGAGGACAACAAACGAGAGGCGGTGACAAACTGTTTCGTCGGAGTTTCACCTACCGACTCATCATCCATTTAAACTAAATATTACGTTAAGAGACTATACTATTAAGTAGTAAAAATAATAACAAGCAGTTAATCCCCCTCCATGAGCATAAGAATAGAACTTGTCGTACCAATTGATCCACTATGACGTATTCATTTATTAGCCACAATTTGATACACAAGCTTGATGCAATTAGATGGCTCCATCTATCAGCTCTTCCTAAACAGTGCCTAGAGCTTAACAAATACTTTGATCTGTATTTAAAAAAAAAAAGAAAAAAAAAAAAAGAGTTATCTGGTATAAATAGTCTTCCATCTCCATATACACGTGATCAATCATCGCTTGTCTATCCATCTACTCCAAATTCATCATCTAATCTTATTCAATTCTTTTTCTTTTTTTTTTTCCTCTTATTTCATTCAAATCTATTCCCAAAAAAATGGAAATAGAAGAGAGAAGAACTCCAAACACATCATAAGGTCGATATAGATAAGGAAAATAGAAAATATAATAGACATAGCGATTGAGAGAAGTAGTTTTCTTTGTGGAAGGGAAAAAAAAAAAAAAAAAAAAAGGAAACGGTAAAAAAAAAAAAAAAAAAAAAATCACAAGTACTAAGTAGGTTTTTTTCTTTTTCTTTTTCTTACCCTGCCAGACGATTACAACGGCATCGTCCACATCAGCGGAGAACAGAAAAAAAAAAATTCGAGAGAGCAAAAAGACTCCTGGAAATCGGGATCCCTACCGTGGATCAGTTGGTACACACTTACATGACCTGTCGTCGCTGTCGAAATACAGACCCAAGCTGGAATCGGCATGCAATCCTGGAAATAGAAGACAGTTCAAGAAACTAATAAATGTAAATTTGCGAAATCGGGGTCTCGTACATCTCAGATTCTGAGAGAGAGAGAGGAAAAAAAATAATAATAATAATAAAAAATAAAAAAATCTGAGAGATAAATGTCTAGTTTCAAATTTATAATTAGCGGATGAAAAAATCCGCATTAAAAATAATAATAATAAAAAATAAATAATTAAAAAAATCGGGGTGTTGTTGAATTGAAAGAACGTCAGTGGGAGAGGACAAATAATCCATCTAAGGGCATACTCACAGTAGGAATAGGATTGTCGTGAATGTATGTGACCGCTTTTCAATCCCGGTTTGGATCCACCTGACCGCAGTTAAGTCCCCAGAAGAACTCGGAAAGGGTCCACGTGTGAATATGCCCTAAAACTTCGGCGAGAGAGGGGAACGTCGCGCGCGCGAAGAAGAAAAACAACGAGCTATGTATTTATTAAATTTAAATTAAAAATAAAAATAAAAATAAAAAAACCAACGAAATCAGTACAACTACTGATACTCCTCTAAGTCGGATACATGTCAATCTCAACCACGTCAGAAACACTAGACTAGTGCCCTCCTTTTGATTGGCCCCCATTCTAAGTGCATCCTGACACTAGTAAGTAACTTTTTCTACGCAAATCTGGACGTGATTGAGGTCAGATTCGTTCAGGTCCGGCGGCCGTAACTGCAGTCGGATACATTTAGAAAAAACTCTTAGTGTCACTATGACCTAAGTGCATCAAATCGAGATATGGTCCATACGAGAGGACTTTCCTCGAAGCAGCTCCAGTCATTCGCCGTCCTCCCCCGCCCCCGCCGAAAAAAAAATAAAAAAAAAATAAAGGCCAGAAAAACTGTCACTCGCCGCCCGCCTCTAGATGTAGCCACGAAAGTCAGTTGCCGCCCACGCCGTGTGAGTCAGAAAAAAAAAAAGAAAAAGAAAAAAAAAAGTATAGACTCACCCGAAAGAAGGCATTTGCTATTTACCGATGGGGCCTAAACTGACGAGCCGGCCTAGCTCAGTTGCTCAGTTGGTATTAAATACAGGCTCATGTTCGAATCCGATATTTGCGCTTGGGGCAATGACGCAGTCCATGAGGGCTTAACCAATACATGACCAGATGAACATAACAAAACAGTAATTCGGAAGTACTGGGGCCGCATTCGAGTCCAGATTCATTTCCATTCCGATGTTCTGTAGCGGAGCAAGGGTCCAAGTCGTGATCCTCAGCAGCGGGAGCTTCAACGTCTGCTGGTCTATGCGCTCTGGAGGTCTGGATCCTTTTTTTTTCCCCCTCTTTTTCTTTTTCCGCCGTGGAATTTCATTTCACTTCACACGCGCCCAGTGCTATAGGGCTCTTTTGAGCGCGCGGACTCACAGAAAGTTTCCCCTGGCGCTGACTTAATCATTAGGCCATGTTCGTCGGACCCACAACGTTCCCGTGGCGCTGACCTAATCCTTGGGGAATGTTGCTCTGCTTCAGCTTAGCTTCAGGATACGAAGGACCGT